CATAGCAACACAGTCTATATTACTTGCTGATTTCTATAGATGAAAGACATTTTAAAATTGGTTAAGTATTTTCTAGTTTATCCATTACAAACAAAAAATCAAACCTCTCCTCTTTACAGTATTTATGTAGATAGGCTCTTTCCAATCCAAATATATCAAATAGTATATAACATAATAAATCAAAAGTTTCAATTTACTAATTATAAATCATTATTGATTGCATTACTGAAAATTAAAAGTATTTCGTTTAACTTTATATTTTCTATATACGATTCAATTACATATAATTAAGTAGTAACAATTTATATATTTCAGTCTAAACTTAAGTATAGCTTAATTAATAGATACTCTTAGCTGCTCTTAGGCAGGAACACTGGTAGTGGACAGAGCTCAGGGTCAACGCACTCGAGGGGTCGATGCACCAATACCCGACCTTGTCTGGCCTTGTTCACTGATGCAACCCTCGCCATTTGCTAAATAAAAAACATGTTACGCAACACTTTTGAAAAAAACAGTCAATATAATCACTACAATATGTTTTCTGGATTGAAATTTTCACAAAATAACTAATAAATCCTTGCAATAAGTAAATCTTGAGTGGATGTATGGATACCGAAATATGCTATGAGGTATTTATAACCTGCAATAAATATATATAGAGGTAACCTGCTTTCCAATAGACCAATTATCCTCGAGAAACAGCGAGGTTTAATTGATTCAAAGATCCAAAAATCGCCTTTATTTGAAGACATCAAGGGTGGAATATGCAAACGTAGAAGTGAATAGACTATTGATGATAACATTGATGGATCATTCAATCAAAAATAATTCTAAAAATAAATACATAACTGAGTTATTTTAGAAGAATTCACTTATTTCATAGAATCTATAAAATAAGTGTGTGCTTATAAAAACCTTAAAGTTACATCTTAAAGTCAGAAATAATTTAGACATTCCTAAGTTTTTATGACTAATTTTATTAAATATTTAATTAAAAAGAAAATTTGTTGCACCGATAAGAGGAAACTCTTAAACGAAAAGAAAGAATATTATGACGTCTATAACTTATTCTAAATCTATAATATTTCTTTCCTTAGTGGTATTATAATTTATTACATCTTCGATACTTTGTAATTTGTAAATTGCAAAAGCTCGTTACTTACTAGCTTTTACTAACAAGTATCGGAGTTACAAAGGAGCAGGTTACATTTGCATTATCCATAAACCTTAGCTATTAAGGCGAGGTAATGACATATGGTCTACATATTATGTATGTAACCAAAACTGATTCTTGAATATCTTCTTTTTAACCGCATTCAAAGAGGTTTTCTGTTCAGTTTTTTTTATGATTGTTATAACTCATAACTCCGCCACTTCTAAACCGCTTTGGAAAATTCTTTTGTAATTTGAAAGGATATAGTCACAGTTTGGTCCAATACAAATTTTATCATAATCGGTTTAGTACTTTAGTTTTTAAATCAAGGTAATTGATTTTGTCACAATTAAAGTCGGTTTTTTGGGGGACACAATCCACAAGTACAGAGTAAGGTGAAAATGAAAAAATGAAAAATATTTATTTCGTAACAAAATTGATACAATACTAAGATCGTTGTTGTGACCTTCTAGTAAGTGTTATCACCTGTATCAGAAGGTCACGCTCCTCCATAACCATGCAAATACATAAATCATAGTACCATGAAATTAAGACATAAACATTATCTAATATTAGTAATAAGTATATCTAAATGCATGCATGCGTGTGTGTGCATGCATACATGTGTGTGATGTGTGTGTGTATGTGTGTGTGTGTGTGTGTGTATGTGTGTGTGTGTGTGTGTGTGTGTTTATGTATGCGTGCGTGTGAGTGTATGTGTGCATGTACGTGCGCCATGTACCAACGGTTCTGTACGCATGGTTTCGTGTTTCCTCTTTATGTTGAAATTTTCAAAATTCTTTTCTCAGTAGATGTCTGCTTTATAAAGTAAATCTATGCGCCAAATTTCAAATTTATACACTTAATAGCTTTAGCTGTGCATTCGTAGTCAATTAAGTTAAATTATTTTACAAGTATAGATTAATTTTTCCGTCGTAACACGAGGAACTAGCCTTGTTTCTATATCTACGGTAGCACCAGTTTCCTACAATGTACCTAATACTTCTCTTGCATGCTTACATCATAGAAAACTATTTCAGAAGGATAGCAGGTAAATAACAAATAATTAAAATATATTTATTTAAATAATAATTAACACTAGAGTATGAACAATAATTTTGTCAAAAATGTTTTTTTTATTTCATGCATTAATCTTTTAAGAAGAAAGAAGAAGGGTCTCAGGTGAAGATTGGAGATTCTACGTTCCACGGCAAATGATTACCATCAAAATATCTGTAGGATGATTTTGCATTTTTTTTAAGTTTTGAATTCTTTTTTTAGATTAAAAAAAGACTATGAAAACAAGGATCCCATAGTCCCACATAATATTATCCCATATAATAGTAACTGCCTCTTAAGATGAAAGCTTTCTAGCTGTTTAAATTTCACGTATATGGTATAACACGTTGCGTGTCGGAAAGACAATAAATTACTGTGAGGAACTTAAGTTATTACGATTGCATACTACTTTCACGACTCTCTTGCTCTCTCAATACTAGCTATTGAATATTTATGAAAATTATTAGTTTTACAACTAACCAAAGCCTTCCTTTCAAATGTGTATTCATAGAAGTTACTAAAATGTGTTAATTATAATTTCTTCCTTGGTTCTCGTCTTAAATTTACAGATCAATTATAATTTTTTTTTTTTTTATACAACTTAGAATGGCGAACAAGCTAACGGCCCACCTGATGGAAAGTGGTAACCATCGCCTATAGACATGAGCAGTACCATGGACATAACAGAGTATACTGTTTCGCCCATGACCCCCCATGCGTTGCCATTCCTGAGGACTCAGGTGTTACTCCTCTGTACCCTGTAAATTCACGCCATATCCCACCCTTCAAACCGAAACACAGCCATGCAAACACAACTGCTTCACGGTAGAAACACGAATGGGACAAAGATTCTTTATCTACGAATACAGGGTTTAATACGACATTAATTTCAGGTTTTTTCGGCGTCAGAAACGCGCACGTGTTATCTCTAATATTAAAGGAGTCCATTAGCTACAATAATTATTTATTACCAAACGGGCTATATGCCTGTTTGCCACCTTCGTGGTATAAAAAAAATCGTTTTGCACTGCGGTTTATCAAATTACCTGAAACATTTTAATTTTATACATAGGTATATTATTTAGGCTTGCTTAGGTCTCAATAAATTTTATTATACAAACAATAATTATCAATTCATTATTAATTTATCTTGTCTTTTGTCGATTTTTAGGCATAGTTGTATGTACATGTTTCTTCCCAAATTGTGGAACGAAGAATGCTGAATTTAGTATTTGAAGAGCACCTATAGGCGATGTCTATACACGAAGATTGCCATTTTTCATCAGGTTCATCTACTTAGTAATATTTCCAAGTTCTTTACAAAAAAAATATTTTTCCTTTACTTTTTATTTTTATATATTAATACATATTAGAGTCAAACTGAAGCATTATAATTGTATAATTATTATTAATATGGAATGTGTATAATATATAGCCTAACTACGATTTGCCAATTCGCCTGCCATATATATATATATATATATATATATATATATATATATATATATATATATATATATATATATATATATATATATATATATATATATATCATATGACATCTAAGATTTTTCTTATATTGTATCGTCTTATAATAAACTTTTTTGTTTTAATTTCTTTATCATGTAACTAGTACTTATTTCACAATATTATGTATTATTATCGATTTCAGGAATTATTACTTTATATATAAACATTTTCCTGTATATTAAAACTGTATATTATCAATAAAGATAACTTTACGCTCAACAACAGAGAAATTCTGTTAAAACGATTGCTAATTTAATAAACAAAGGAAACAAAGGACTGACGATAAAAATAGAAATCTTTCATTATCCTGGTTTATTACTAGGCGTTTTTACTTCTTATTTCTTTAGAAAATTATCAAGTTTTTTGTTCACTAGTATTTATTTATTGACTACTGTTATATTATCTGTGGTAATACTTAAATTTATAGATTACGTCAGACTATTTGTCTCTCAGTTTCATCGAATTGCATTTTCTTAGAAAGAATAGAAATGGTAACTATATTTAAAAACTGATAACTAAAGAATAAATATTTAACAAAAATTGTAATAATAAATATGTTTTAATAAGATTTATAAAATAGTGAATCGTAAACTAATAATGACTGTGTTTCGTAAAAATAATAAGTAATATATAACTTAATGTAAATCCACTAGGGTAGTTATAAAAGGCTACTAAGGAAGCGAAGTAACACACAAGTATAAGAGAAAAAAAACCCGAAATAAAATACTATATTAATACTTAACTTATAATATTTGGATAACTTTAAGTTCTTTCCTCATGTTATAGGTAGAGAAATATGCCTAGAAATGGACTGTTAAAATATGTACCAAACTATAAAATAAGTCTGCTTAATAATATTTAAATAAACAAGTTTTATAAATTTTAGACTTCATTTTAGAGCATCAGCTCAGATTCTAAAGATGAGGTCTAAAGTCTAAGTTTATCCTATCGTCAAGAAAAATCAAACGAGATTAAACACGGCCACCATCCATCTTCATCATCTGACTAGCTCAATGGTACTATAATATTGTATTATCACCAAACTTATACATGCCAAACTCCAGCATCATCGATCGCCAGCAACGAATCAATCAGCAATCTTATAGAAAAGAAAAAAAAAGTTATAAGTTGGTAAGAATATTATACTTATGTAGGTTATATATAATATATGTCAGTATTCTTTTTTGCCAACCCTAATATCTGGACTCTGGATTACGTGAAGAGGAAAAAGAGAAACTATATATTGGTCCACTGGGACCTGCGTACTAGGGCAGTGAGCGTAAGTCCTAACATTTTTAATCCGGTTCGCTGCGCCCGCGCATCACTCGCTTACTTGCACTCATACTACGCGCCTGTGCTCTCGTGTATATCGATCGCGATTTTTTTTTATTCATTAATCAACTTTTTAATTACTTAAACGTATCAAATTTAAAATGTACAAGTCACTGGTTGTATTGTGTGTTGCATTCTACGTGGTGATAGGTGAGTTATTTCATTAGGCTTTATACTTAATTTTAAGTACATTTAAGATTTTACTTTCAAACATTACCAAACAAATGTTTAGAAATAAAATAATTATCTATAATATAAAAATAGTATATCTTAGATTTAGATGTAATAAAAGTTATTGTAAATATTAAATAAACAAATAATATACGTAATTTTACTAAGAACGCCTATAAGGCATTATCAATACAAGTTGTGGGCGAAAGGACTGTATGCTGGTATGGAAACACGGTGTTTTAGAAAGATAATATAATAATATAAAAAAATATACATATCAAACCAACGGAGTAAAAAAGCGAAGGCAAAAACAAAACCGAAACTGACACACACTTCAAATTACAAACAAAACATCTTTTTAATAAATTTAAAAAAGAAACTAAAAAGGTGCGTCGTGCACACAAGTTATAAATATTATTTGTAATATATTATAAAATATGATAATTTTTGTAGATAACACATTTAATGTTATCATAACATTAATTCTTTTTGTGTTTTAATTGTATCTAAATATAACCATATTATTTATTATTTTAACATTTTCTACAATAAACAGTGACTTCAATCGTGACGGAATTAATATGACCCTAACCGATCTTTAATCCTTGTAGATTGCAAAAAAATATCAAAATCGGATCAGAATTTGCGAGTATATTGTGTGACATACAAAAAATATCATTCTATTGAAAAGCTCCTCCATCTTGAAGATTAATAAAAAATCTATGTATAATACATAATACGTACATAACATATTATACATATTATAAATAGATTCAGTGACTATTATTAAATAGGATGTTTTTATCGGTCTCATAATCTTAATTAACTGCACTGCAATTATGAACAATATAGAACGCTCTAAATCTAATTAAGGCAAAACGAAATCGTGTCTAAAGCAAAACAAAAAGCTTTAGTCAGTATACGACAAAAAAATCAAGCAATGAAACAAAACAAAGTTAAATGCATAATTAAGTAGAATATCTAATACATAAAGCATATTAATTATATTTAATAACTAGTACGGATACATTTATTTCGAAAGCTCAACACCTTCAGAATAGATTTTACCATTACAAATGCCCTCAAATATAAAAATTGTTTGCTTTGCTTTTATTAGAATAAAAAGTATTTTATTATGCATTAATCTAGGATATACTGTCCTTATTTATTCCATTCGAAAATCTATTAAGTTAATTAAAATATAACTTAAAAGGTATACGTGAAAGTAAATAGTCACTGTAGACGATCTAGGTGAACTCTATATGTTAAACTTTTCAATTGACGGCAGTTTACACCTCTCAACTTTTCTTTTTATTTTTTCTGTTATAACACTTAACATACTTTCCATATTTAGCAATATAATAGAAAATTGCATGTGAATTCCACCATATAAACTCTTACTTTATTCTCATAATCTTTTGTAATTTTAGATAAGACCATAAATCGACCCCCGTCGATTCTGAGGTATACTCGTAACTACCATACCCTACAAAAACTATTTCCTAAACATATCTGTAAAATTACAATTTTAATTTAACCACCTTATTTATAAAAACATTAAACCTTTCATAAGCTATTTTAGCTATTGAACTGTTTTATCTCTTTCTTTTGTGCTAAATTCCCAGTTTGAATGAAAGCGACAAAATAGTGTAATAGTTAAAATAGGGTTACCCCCTAGTTCTAGTTTAGAAAAACTATTATGATATGGAACATCGAGAAATGAAACAGTTCTGATACAACTCTACTAAAATTTACTTTATTCGGGTCCTTACTTTGCTCATTTTGCTGTAATATTAAATTGAAACTTTAAAGACAAAAATGGTGCTAAGGTATCGATTCCAATGTTGATATTAGTCTGCCTAAAGTAGGTCAAAAATGTTGTACTAAACGTATATGGAAAATAGCTTGGTTTTCCGTTTATGTACCTACGACATTCTATAACCAGACTCTGTACCATACCAGTTAAAAAGTTTATTTCTAAATGCTATTACTTTTCCAAACACACACACCTATATCCCATAAAGAAATAGGAAAACCAATTGAATCTACTACTTTTTGATAAACTAAATTTTACGTTAGACCTTTTTTTTACACCACTGAGGTGGAAAACAAGCTTACGACCTACCTGACGGTAAACGGTTACCGTAACCTATGAACGCCTGCAATATTAGGGGCATTACGCGCGTTGCCGACCCTGAAGAAACGTTTTTATCCCTTTTTTGAAGAACCCCATACTGTGGACTTTCAGGAACACCATTGTGAAAAGAATTTTGTTTTCGCATCTTTAATTTATTATTGTTTTTAGTCTTATTAAGACCTCTCAAATTAATACTTCTCAAATATCTTCCATGTACAGACATCGCCTAGTTATTTTTTTTTATATGACTATAATAAATACCTACAAAGTATTGTAACACGGATTCGATATCGTATTACTCATCCAGTCCTTTCCGCGGTCGTGCCCTCACAGCTTTTTATATATTTCATTACCTGTAGATACCTAATGCTGGTTTAATGTTTAGGTAATAACAACAACAAAAAAATACAAATCCATAAAAATAAAACTATTGTAATCAATAAATCAATAGTTACTTTAGAAGATTGAGCGTCAGTCTTTACAAAAAAAACCTTTTTAGAATTACGTGTTTTAAAAAAAGAAGCCGAACATCTCTTATTTTTATTTATACTCGTACATATTTTTAATAATATCATCAGCTTTATTTTTATGGTGTTAAATGTTGATCAATAATAACATAGTTCTGTAAAATTACACAAACCATTGCCTTTAGTTTCTGTAATTTTAAATAGTACTTTAAAACATGAAGATTACCATCGTAACTTAAAATAGATATATATCTTCATTAGAAACTTACGTGTTCTCAAATGAAATAATTCAGTACAATACTAATATTATATTTACTTTGAGTAATAATTATTATTTACGTTAAGGTTTGTATAATAAATACCTATTACTTTCGTCAACATGAAATTAGATAACATTTAAATTGTAGATTAGATTCAGAGAAGCTTCTTCCCGCGAAGGCTCAGGTAATAGAATGATTATCCTGCTGAGGCTTTCCTAAAGATTATAGGATGGGGTTCTTCAAAAAGGGGTCTTAAGGTTCTTTAAGGGTCAGCAACGCTCGCATGACATCCCTGGTGCTACAGGCGTATAGGCTACGGTAACCTCATTTACCATCAATCAGGGCGTATGCTTGTTCGCCACAATAGTAGTTTAAAGAAAATTTTATCTGAAAATTTAATTTCGTAGTTCAAAATTAACATAAAAATTACCGTCGTTCTGTTTTGACTTTGATCTGATTTTATTTGTTGTAACCTTATGAAACCCAGATGTGTTGAACAAATCACGAAACATATCTTAACCAATAGTTTTTTTTAAACAATCGTGATTGTTGTGTACATTTATCAATTTCAAATTACTCATCCCAATCTAAGTTTTTTCGAAGTCACCACAAACATTTATTAAATCATACCTACCTATATCTCCAGAAAGCATGATATCATGTTTCTGAGAAAGATGTCTACAAGACTGATTACAGCTTGCGAACTTTTATAATGAGTTTCTCAGGTCCAATATTACAAAAAACTTAATTGTTCCCACCACGTAATGTCATAACAAATTTATTAACTGACCGTTACGTTGACTATTTCCGTTCAGAACCTATTGTTACTAAATCTAAGCCGAGGAAAACCGCAATGGATTGCAACCACTGCGATATAGCATAAACTTTAGAGTTGAAAGTGTAGGAATTTTATAATAATGCAAAAACAAACACGATCAACCCGTTCTGGTTCAAGTTAGGTTATACGCCAGTGGACAGGACAATGACTCTCCCATTACACCTGACCGACTACTGATACTTGGTCGATAGCTTTTTTTATATCGACGACGTATTTTTTTTTACAAACGCAGATAAGCGTCTTTTAAAGCAATAAAAGTTCTAAAGTCGAGTGGTTGTATTTAATGAAATTTTTTTTTAATAAAAATGGTAACCACGCCTACGTTATCGGTTCACAGTGGCAGGGCACCAGTGAGAGATGATAGGTGAGGATGAAGCAGGCCATTTGGCCCATCGTGATAAATTCATCAAAAGTTAATCACAAAGGATCCTAAGGCATGAATATCGACCTATTAGGGTACATTGTAGTAATACTTAGTAATGGATCTGTTATTTCTGTTATTACTAATAATCGCTATCCCCCAGTGGGGTGGTTATGGACCAGTAATTTCTTAATAACATATTGTATCACTTTGCAGTCTAAATTTGTTGGAAGATACATTTAAAAAAGGCAGTTTTATCAACGCCATTTTTACTATTAACTGACATAACTTTGAATTTAAACTTTATTATCGTTTAAGTATTTTGGATGTATTCCTAAGTTTTCGTACGAATTTCAACAAATTGAACAATCGGCCGATTTTAAATTTGTGTTAAGTATGCGCTATACATATTGTTCATGCAATTTTTTACGCAACATAGAATTGTAAACAAACCGCAGGCCACCTGATGTAAAATGACACAATGAACATTTTTGTGAGGCCCATACTTCTCATGTGGTGTCATTCTTGAAAGACTGCTAAATGACAAAAAACTGTTCGGGATAATCCGGAATTCCCACGGGAACGGGATATAATGACTTCGCGAGAGCAATGCTGCGGTGAACAGCTAGTAGGTACCACATATATGAACAAGTCGTGTACCCTTCACCACAACCCACTTTCACGCAAATTTCTACAATTAAGTTTAACTTATCTGTTGTATAAGTTATGATAATGGCCGGGCAATGTGAGTGCTTGATATATATGTACTGGTAATATTACTGTACTGTTTAGACTTATACATGTATTAAATAGATAAGAAACATGATATGACTTTTCATCTTGACCTACTTTCGTAGAATTGATTAATTGCACATTAAATGTGGTGCATTTAGTGTGGATCAAATATCATAATATT